CCCCCCCCCGGGGTGAGGACGTGGGGGGGACGTACCTTGGGGCGCCCCGCCATTCTGCGTGTTGTCATGTCCCTCGGGGCCAGCACGGCCGCCGTGGCCACCGCCTCCTGCAAGACAGAAGCGTTGGGGAGCCTTTCGCACACGACGGTCACCCCAAAGACCCTGAGGGCCGACCACGCCCGAGGGGGTGACAGGGCACAGATGGGACCGGGCGCGGGGCGTCCTTTGCAGTGGCCCCCCACGAGCCCCCTGGGCCCCCTGGGCTGCTGGCCATTGCTCCCCGCCGGCCACAGGCTTCGCGACGGACAGAAAGACCCGTGTGCAGACACGGTCTACACAGCACGGTCCTGTGTCAATACGCGGACGCCGGACACGTAAACGCCGACGGATGCTGACCGTCGCCGACGGCTCTGAGGACGCCGGGGGGAGTCCGGGGTGCCGGGGGCCACCCCGTCACCCCGTCCCACTTGGCCTTCGGTGTCTACGCCTGAGACGTCCCGGGGCCCGTCCAGCCGAGACCCGGGACAAAGCTGACGCCGGAAGAAATAGAAACCAGACGAGGTCAACACACCCAACGGTGACGCAGCGGGTGACCGGTAGATCAGACGGCTGGCGGGCGATGCGCGGCCAGGAGCGGGGGTGAGGGGCTCCCCAGACTTTAACACAAGTCTGGGACCTGGCCTCGGGGGGCCAGAAGGGCGACCCCCCCCCACCTACCTCCATCCGCTGTCCCGTCGAAGAGGTCAGAATCTGAGAAGCCACCTAGGGGGGGAGCAGACAGCGTCACCCCGCACGGCCCCTCGGTTCGGGGGGGCGGGGATGCAAACCACTGCAGACCCGGAGGGGCCCCGGGGCCCCGTCACGAGCACGACCCCCCCGAGATGCGCTGACGGCAGCCCCCCACGCTGTCTGCACCGTCCCGGGACGCCTCCTGCCGAGACTTGGCAGAAAGTTGACACCGGAAGAAATGGAAATCAGGCGCCGCGGCCCCCCGACGCCGACCCTCACTCGCCTCTCCCTGCCCAGTGGGGTCGGTGTTTCGCCCAAATCTGGGGCCACAGGGAGCTGGCAGTGGGGGCGCCCGTTCTGGGCCCCGCTCTGCCTCTGGGGAGCCCCCTCGCAAGCCCTCTGGCTTGCACCCCAGTTCTGTGTGCGTAAAGAAAAAA